CCTGTAATCCTATTTATCTCCCTTTATTATATTATTCACAGTTTCCCCCATGCATGCCTCTCCACCAGTTGCTTTCCACTTGTATGTCCTCCTCCCCATCTCTCCAAATCTGTGCCTCTCATCCAACTTCCAGTTTGTGCCTATCTCCCCATTAAAACTAACATTATAATAGAGTTCCATCATTTCTATAAATATTTATTCATACGTGATTATTTACTGTGTTTAGAGCATAGACAGGGTCAGTATCCAATGACACATGTACCATGCAGAACAGCCATATCGAAATGGGCCAGGAAGGGAGATCAGAAGATCTCCTCAGCCAGCCCAGAGTAACAATGCAACCAGAGCACCAGGGAGCCTGTGTTCTGCACCTCCAGTAGGTGCAGGCACCAGAGCTAACATTCCCCGCGGTCTGGCGCTTCCAAGGTGAATTTTTAAATGTAGGACTCACCTACAAAGTTTACATTGATGCAGATGTACCTTCACTAAAATAGCCTTTTTAGTGGTACCAAACAATTCCGTTATTTAAATATGCATTGGGATTTGTATTGGAAATTTTTGGGGGTCTTAACCAACTTGATAGGGGTTGAGTGTAAAAATATCTGGAAGGTTCCATTAAAATGGATGGAGCATCGACCCTGCCAATATTCCCAGCAACCACATATATACTATACACAAATCCCTATCCTGTGTTATGATATAATCTCTATATATAGCTGTACCGCATAAATACAAGTGATTTATTTTAGGAATAAAACAGCCATGTTTACATTGTCAGGTCTTTTTGCTGAAAATAGAACTGCGGAAGGTATTTTTTCCATCTAAGCTGCACATCAGTGAGAATTTTACATTATGTGGGCAGAATAGAATATATAAATGCATATATGCCATACTGTATACTGTATGTATGTATGTTGTATGTTTTCTGTCACTGTACCTACCCTGGTATTTTGTGTAGGTTGGTATCTCCATCAATTTATCTAATCTATTATGTACTCGTGTTGGATGGAATATGCTCGACATGTGGAATATCTGTTGTAATAACTGCATGTAACTGTATGACTGTATCTGAAATAGGAATGAGATTCCCCCTAAATGAACAGGTTAATTTAGTGAAGTGAGAATTGTTTGAGATTCAAAGTGACAAGAAGCACTGATTGGACCATACACAGAGAAGCACTGACGTAGAATGACATGATTTGTAAACAGAGAGTGCTTCAGGGAATCTTTCTCCCAGTGTTGGATTCAAGGTAAGAGTTTGCATTTTTTTTTTAGTTTTTTTATTGCACTAAAAATGGAGGACAGTAAGTCCCAGTGATAAACAAATGTTTATAAAACAACATAAGCATTTGTGAATTGTAGGACTGGAGTAAACTTTTTTTAAAAGTGCTATTTTGGCATAATGCTATGCAAATTAAAAGTAAACAACTTTCCAGATACAAATAAAATTTGGATTTTGACAATCCTCTTTTCATGGATTTTCCACTAAATAAGTCCATTGGAGGAAACATATTGTTCTTTTCACTTTCTTGCGTTCTGATGCTGTGGGCCTGGGGCGGCCATTTTTTTCAGAAAATTAGCTTTTCTTGTTACAGATGTGAATGCTTACACAATGACTATGACTAATGAAAGAGATTAAAAGCAGCAATGAGCAATCTCCAGTAATATATAAAGTGCTGCAGCATTCTAATATATAGCCCAAAAGATACAATTAAATATGTAAAATATCAGCAATAAAATAAACCAACATAGAAATATAGTTAATATAAAATATCAGTAAACCTAATGTGCTCAGTTTAAAAACCAATAGTGCAAAAAACAGAAAAAAGTAATAATAATAATAATAATAATAATAATAATAATAATAATAATAATGCACAAAGAACCGGAACCCCATATCTCTTCAATAAAGCACGTAGTGGGAATCTTCAGGTAAAACCTGGTAGACTGTACCTCACTTTTGCTTTTGAAAAGTCTCTTTTGAGTAGGCTATTTCAAGTAGGAGGTAAAAAAAAAAAAGGGGGGGGGGGGAGTTTAAACTAACAAATTAAATATTGTTTTACTGACCCTAAAACTTGTTTTTGGGGGGAAATGAGTGTTAGTGAATTTGCTGGTCTGACTCAATGCACACCTTGTAACATGTATGTATGCCTGGATGTATCCGTCCAGGGCCCATACATCTGTGATAGGAGTGTGTAAGTGCCTTCTCTGGAAGCTGAGATTGGAGATCTGGAGACACAAATTGCGACACTGAGGGCGATCGACAATCTTGAGATGGGTCTGCTGCTCACTGAGCAGAGTTTAGTGGGGATAGGTAACGGAGCCTGTAGCTCTATTATTGAGTAGATAGGATAGTCTGCCGCTCTGATCGTCTCAACCGGACAATTTGCAGTCTCCTAGGTGATCGGTTCCGGCATATTGCTGACAGAGTGGATGGATTATTGGGAGGGGCTGGGGATTGTCTGACTGTCATGGTCCATATTGGTACCAATGACAAACTTAGAGGACGATGGGGGACCTTAAAGAATGAGTTCAGGTAATTAGGTAGCAAACTTACGAAGAGGACCTCGAATGTTGTATTTTCTAAAATATTGCCTGTGTTATGCGATACAGTGGAAAGGCAGCTGGAGATTAGGGAGGTCAATACTTGGCTGAAGTCTTGGTGTAGGAAGGAGGGTCTTTGGTTTTTAGAGCACTGGGGTGGTTTTGCGCTTGGGTACAATCTTTATAGCCGTGATGGATTGCAGCTAAACGAAAGAGGGCTTGCAGTGTTGGGGGACATGATTGCTGAAAGATTGGAGGAGATTTTAAACTTCTGGTATGGGTAGGTAGATATAAATCTACAAAATAGATATAGGACAGAAAGGACCAAAAAAGCATTTTTTAAGTACATAAATTCTAAAAACTCATAAAACGAAAGTGTAGGTACATTGAAAACTGGGATGGGGTGTTGGTTAAAAGAACACCATAGGGTCAGGAACACAAACATGTATTCCTAACCCTATAGTGTTAAAACCACCATCTAGCCCCCTTGCCTCCCTAAATATAGTAAAATCTTACTTGTATTCCAGTCTGCAGCTGACCTGCCTGATTACAGCTGACATCATCAGAAGTGAACCAATCACAATGTTTTCCCGTAGGATTGGCTGAGGATTGGCTGAGACTGTCAAGGAGGCAGATCAGGGGCAGAGCCAGAATGAAACATAACCCTGGCCAATCAGCATCTCCTCATAGAGATGCATTGAATATATGCATCACTATTAGGAAAATTCAGTGTCTGCATGCAGAGGGTGGAGACACTGAATGGCAGTACTACACAGTGTGCAGCACTGTCCAGGAAGCACCTCTAGTAGCCATCTGAGGAGTGGCCAGTGGAGTTATCACTAGGTTGTAATGTAAACACTGCATTTTCTGAAATTAAAAATTAAAATTTACTGCAAAAAGCCTGAAGGGAATGATTATGCTCACCAGAACAAATACAATAAACTGTAGTTATTCTGGTGACTATAGTGTTCCTTTAATGAATACCAGGTAAAGGTCGAAATTTAAACAAGTATTTCTTCTCAGTATATATTAAGGAAGAACTTATGGCTAGAGATATGCAAATGATTGCTGCAAAAAACGTGCAGAAAAATTGTAATTGGATGACTTAAGACAAGGCGCTGCAGCAGCTAAAGAAAGTTAATATAAACAACGCTCCAAGACCTGAAGGTATTCACCCACGAGTACTTAATGAACTTATTCTCTCCTCCGGTAAGCTCTTCTGTCAGCTCCCACTGTAAGTCTCGCGGTCTGAGTGCTGCGCGGAGCGTTGCCACGGTAACCGGTGGCAACGCTCTGATCCCGCGGCTCTCGCGAAACTTACAGTGAGAGAAGGGAGAGAGAGAAGGGAGCTGACAGGAGCTGCAGGAAAGGTAAGTAACAGCTCGCTGCCAGCCCCCAACAGGACCGCCGGGCTTGTAATGAGCCCAGCGGTCCTGGTCTGTATCATGACAATGTAAGTTGCCATAATACAGATAGTGACTCGAGTATACTATGAGTGGGGGTTTTTCAGCACAAAAAATGTGCTGAAAAACTCTGCTTATACTCGCGTATATACCCTAAATGGTATTAAATTAGGCATAATAACACACAAGAAGGATTTGGGAATTGTTACAGACAACAAACTAGGCAACAATGTGCAATGTCTAAGGCCAGTAGGTATTGTCATGTATTAAAAAAGGACATTAATTCTCAGGATGAGAATATCATTTTTCCTCTTTATAAAATACTGGTAAGAACACATCTTTAATATGCTGTACAGTTTTGGGCACCTGTTCTAAAGTAGGATATTATGGTACTAGAAAAAGTGCAGATGTGGGCTACAAAATTAATAAAAGCAATGGAACAGTTTAGTTATGAAGAAAGGTTAATAAATTGAAACCTTCGTAGTTTAGAAAAGCGGTACTTCAGAGGGGATATGATAGCATTATACAAATATATCTGGGACCCATACAAACCATTGTCTAGAAATCTATTCCCAAACAGGACTATACATAGGACACAAGGTCAAGCGTTTAGACTAGAAGAAAGGAGATTAGTCTAAGGCAGTGGTTCCCAACCCAGTCCTCAAGTACTCCCTACCAGTACAAGATTTAGAAATTTCCCAGTTGTTTCTAAGGTGTTTTTAGAAGAAAGAAAAAAAAAACACTTTAGACACAACATGGTAATCCCCAAATCCTGGACTGGTTGGGGGTACTTAAGGACTGGATTGGGAACCCCTGGTTTAAGGCAAAGGAAAGGGTTTTTTTTGTTGTTGTTTTTTTATTACAGTAAGAATAATCAGGATGTGGAATTCTCTGCATGAAGAAGGGATTTTATCAGAATCTGTGCAGATGTTTAAACAGCAACTGGATGCATACTTGCAAAAATATAATATTTCAAGGAAATACTTAAATTGTGGGGTCATAGCTTCTTTGTCTAAGTGCTTCAAACTGGGATTATTGCAAAAAAACAGGTGTGAGAAAGGCTGAGCTTGATGGACACACATCTCTTTTCAGCCTATGTAACTATGTACAGTTGTGCTCAAAAGTTTGCATACCCTTGGAGAATTGGTAATATATGTAAAATTTTTAAAGAAAACATGAGTGAAAACATTTATTTCTGATGGGATTCATATTGCACTGTAGGTTATAACAGAATGGCACAATGGCAAAGAAAAAAAATGAAATGGCCCCTGTTCAAAAGTCTGCATACCTTTAGTTCTTAATACTGTGTATTGCCCCCTTTAGCATCAATGACAGCGTGCAGTCTTTGTAATAGTTGTCTCTTATTCTTGCAGGTTGTAAAGCTGCCCATTCGTCTAGGCAAAATGCTTCCAGGTCATGCAAAGTCTTTGGTCATCTTACATGAACCGCACGCTTGAGATCTCCCCAGAGTGGCTCGATGATATTAAGGTCAGGAGACTGTGACGACCACTCCAGAAACTTCCCCTTTTTCTGCTGTAACCACTGGAGCGTCAACTTGGCCTTGTGCTTAGGGTCATTGTTATGCTGGAAAGTCTAATGCACAGCCTTTGTGCAGAAGAATGCAAATTGTCTGCCAGTATTTTCTGATAACATGCTGCAGTCAACTTGCCATCAATTTTCATAAGATTCCCCTTGCCTTTAGAGCTCAGCCTTCCCCACTCCCCCTCCCAAAACATCAGTGAGCCATCACCATGCTTCACAGTGGGAGTGGTATTCGTTTCACTATAGGCCTTGTTGACCCCACTCCAAACATAACGCTTATGGTTATGACCATAAAGCTCTATTTTGGTCTTGTCACTCCAAATTACAGTGTACCAGAAGCTGTGAGGCATGTCAAGGTGTCAGGCATTTTGCAACTGGGCTTATTTGTGACATTGGCACAGTAAAGGCTTCTTTCTGGCAACTTGACAGCTAATTTTTGTTCACGTATCGTTGTATTGTGCTCCTTGAAACAACCACACCATCTTTTTCCAGAGCAGTCTGTATTTCTCCTGAGGTTACCTGTGGGCTTTTCTTTGTATCCTGACCAATTCTTCTGGCAGTTGTGGCTCAAATCTTTCTTGGTCTACCTTGATATTAAGTGGAAAATTCAAGCATCTCTTGATAAGTGATTGAACAGTACTGACTGGTATTTTCAAGGCTTTGGATATCTTTTTATATCCTTTTCCATCTTTAAAAAGATCCATTACCTTTTTATGCAGGTCTTTTGACATTTCTTTTCTGCTCCTCATGGTTCAGTATCTAGCCTGCTCAGTGCATCCACGTGAGAGCTAACAAACTCATTGCCTATTTACACACATACACTAATTGCAATTTAAAAAGTCAAAGGTGTGGGAAATTAAAACCACAGGTGTGGGAAATTTACCTTTAATTTCCATTTTAACCTGTGTGTGTCACTTTGTGTGTCTGTGAAAAGGAACCAGTAACCATCTGAATATAAATGGCTTCATATGATCACTATCATTCAATAAAAGACATGATCAGACATCATTTTTGTATGATCAGTGATATTTTCTAAATAATGCCAAAATTTCACAATTTCTGCCAGGGTATGCAAACTTTTGAGCACAACTGTAACTATGTACCTGTGATCTGAGGTCTGTTGGAGCCAAAGCTGGAATTGCACTATTGTATCTCAGGTTTGTGAAAGAGTTTTATAACAATTTTAACAATTAAATAGTTACTCTTACAATACTACACTGTGTCATCATTTTCTTCTATTAGTACTCTGAACGCAAGATTAATCTAGAAATACTATGTAGAATGTATCCATGTGCACTTTATTCCTTTATTGGCTTTGGCGCTATTGGTTTTTTAAACTGATAACATTAGATTTACTGTCCTATTTATATTGAATTTGTTATGTCTGTGTTGGTTCCCTATTTATTATTTTGTACCAATCTGATTTTCATTGAATAACTCTTATTTTAGGCCTTATGTTAGCTATAATGTCTGTCTGTCTATCTATCTATCTATCTAATGTTCCAAGTAACATAATGTTTAGTAAAGATTAAACAATGCTTGTGCATAAGTCCCATATTGGAATGCTTTGTCTTCGTCAGAAAAAAATTATTATGAGTAAGTTGTAAAGCTGGCAAAACACACAATGACTTACACTACATGGCTACATGGTGTTCACATACTTTAACTTATTCATTCCATTCTAGAGAAGGATTTCAACAATTACAAAGTAAATTCTGAGAACAATGATACAGTAGATCAATAGTCCACTTCCTTGTAGCCGTGATGACGTGGCTGAGATGACGAACGGTAACGTGATTCATTTTTCTGCTAACATTGCTCCTGGCCATCTTAATTACAGAGAGTCACTCCCTGGCTTCAAATGCATAGAATGTTCTGAAATAAGACATCTGTTTTCATTTGAGTTGCAGCTTCAATAGTTACATCATTAATTCCAATGCAGATATTGATTGGGGTTTTTATATAGATGTCCAAAACAATATTTATACCACCAAAAGTTGAAACAATTATTAACGATGCTGATAAAGATTTACCATCTTTATCAGTATCATAAATAATTATTTCAACTTTTGGTAGTATAAATATTATTTTGGACATCTATATAAAAACCCCAATCAATATCTCATAATATCTGCTCCTATGAGTGCCTGTCTACATGTTACATTTTTCCTTTTTTTTTTCTTCTATTTATTTTCGCAAATAATTGTTTTTTTATACTTTGACAAGGACAATTGTATGTACTAACAATAGACATAATCCAAAAACATACACAAACATTGGGATATAAACAAATGTACAAATATACAAACATTTTAACTTTTTTAAATATAAAGTCTGTGCAGGTTTGATGGTCTTGTTGATGTAACACTGATGATCAAGGAAGAAGACCCTCTTTGGTAAAAAAAAAACAAAAAAACAAGGACCCTCATTGGCACAGAAAAATTTCCTGGCAATGGAAGAAGACCTTCACAGGAAATGGAAGAGGACATTCTATGGAGCTGGAGAAGACTCAGTAGTTGGTCTTGTACAATGCTAGTTCTGCATGTTCCATTTGGTTGAGGCAGCTAAGCCAGGTCAACTGGGGATGCTGTGTCTGCAGTACATTGTGCATCACGAGACAAATCCATGTTAGTTTACTCATGGGAACTTTGAAATATGAAATTACAGTTAAAAATAGATATGGCCCATCCTTCACTAATCTATTAACAGATCACTAATTCTTACAAAAATATTTCATAGAACTCCAAATTGTATTGAACTACTCAATAAAACTAATTGGATCAGTCATGGGCAGAACAAGCAAACCAGTATCAATCTGAATAGAAGCCAGTAAACCAGAACACTAACTCGTGTTTCTACTAGTCTTTTCTATAAGCTACATTTTAACTGGATAGCACCTTTAATTCGAGAACTCCTTAATAGGGGTTTAGCTAAGATATTATATGTACTGGTCATGTAAGTCAGTGCGATATGAGTTAAATGACTGTCGTGGATCTGTTAAACATCTGTACTCACAGATATTCACATATATTTAGTTAATCTATGTGTGTATTTAATGTCAAGTATCTCTAATCTTGCATAGATCATGCAAAGACTATTGGAATGGAAGGTATGATGAAGCAGAACTTGCTTTCTCTTATCACACTATATACTTATAGGGTTCGATAAACTAAGACTTTTCTAAAATTAGAATATGGGTAGAGGAGTCATTATCAGACTGGAGCAATTTAAATGGAGTCCAAGAGAAATGGGATTATTTAAAAGTTGCACTATTGAAGGCAGCAGAAAATTGCATTAGGCTTATCAGTAAAAGCAAAAAATTCAAGAAACCACTGTGGTACTCCACAGATGTGGCCAAAATAGTTAAAAACAAAAAGTTAGCATTTAGGAATTATAAAAAAGCCAGAGTGAGGAAGACAAAATGATCTATGAGATTAGGCAGAAAGAGGCTAAGCAAGTTATAAGAGCTTCCAAATCACACACAGAAGATAAAATAGCACAGTCAGTAAATAAGGGGGATAAAACATTTTTTAGATACATAAATGAGAAAAGAAAAGTAAAACAAGGATTAGTTAGATTAAAAACAAAAGAAGGAAGGTATGTAGAAGAGGATAAAGGTCAGGCTGACTGCCTCAATGAATATTTTTGTTCTGTATTTACAGAGAAAATGAAGGAAAGGGACCTCAGTTGAGAAAAAGGATAAATGAGTCATTTATTACACGTGAGTTTACAGAGGAAGAGGTTCTATTTCAACTGTCAAAAGTAAAGACAAATAAGTCAATGGGACCTGATGGAATACACCCAAAGCTATTAAAAGAGCTTAGTGGTGTACTAGCAAAACCATTAACAGATTTATTTAACCAATCATTGTTAACAGGAGTAGTCCCAGAAGATTGGAAGTTAGCGAATGTTGTGCCCATTTACAAGAAAGGTAATAGGGAGGAGTCGGGCAACTATAGGCCAGCAAGCCTTACTTCAGTAGTGGGGAAAGTGATGGAAACCATGTTAAAGGATAGGATTGTTGAACATCTAAAAACACATGGATTTCAAGATCAGAGACAACATGGGTTTACTTCAGGGAGATCATGCCAAACTAATCTTATTGATTTTTTGATTGGGTAACTAAAATTATAGATCAGGGTGGTGCAGTAGACATTGCTTACCTAGATTTCAGTAAGGCTTTTGACACTGTTGCACATAGAAGGCTTATCAATAAACTGCAATCTTTAAGTTTGGATTCCAATATTGTTGAATGGGTAAGGCAGTGGCTGAGTGACAGGCAACAGAGGGTTGTAGTTAATGGAATATATTCGAAGCTTGGACTTGTCACCAGTGGGGTACCTCAGGGATCTGTACTTGGACCCATTCTCTTTAATATTTTTATTAGTGATATTGCAAAAGGTCTTGATGGTAAGGTATGTCTTTTTGCTCATGATACTAAGATATGTAACAGGGTTGATGTTCCAGGAGGGATAAGCCAAATGGCAAATGATTTAGGTAAACTAGAAAGATGGTCAGAATTGTGGCAACTGACATTTAATGTGGATAAGTGCATAGATAATGTGGATAAGTGCAAGATAATGCATTTAAATATATAAAGGGAATCAACACAGTAAAGGAGGAGACTATATTTAAAAGAAGAAAACTACCACAACAAGAGGACATAGTCTTAAATTAGAGGGACAAAGGTTTAAAAATAATATCAGAGGAAATATTACTTTACTGAGAGGGTAGTGGATGCATGGAATAGCCTTCCAGCTGAAGTGGTAGAGGTTAACACAGTAAAGGAATTTAAGCATGCGTGGGATAGGCATAAGGCTATCCTAACTATAAGATAAGGCTAGGGACTAATGAACGCATTTAGAAAATTGGGCAGACTAGATGGGCCGAATCAAAGATTGAAAATGGTGTGGAGAAAATCCAGAAAAACACAATCTATCAACTTTGTTGTTTCCAGTGGCATACCAAATGGGATGGGTGTGCGGTCCATCCCTGGGTGTCACTAGGTAGGAGGTGCAATTACTAGGGTCAGGGAGGTGTGAGCTGTGCTGTCCAGTGGCATACTAAGGAGGGGCGTGGGGTTTGGTCCACCCCGGTTGCCACTAGGTAGGGGGGTGCCATGACCAGGGCCAGGGATGTGCGAGCTATGCTGCCAACACAGCTCACACACACACACACACACACACATAGGGACCAGCAATGCAGCTGCATTGCGTAAAAAACGGCCGCACTGAAGGAAAGTGGGGGCGAAGCTAACTGAAGACAAAGCGAAGCCAAACCAGCAGCGTGGGTGGGGTTCAGGGCCGCCATCAGGGGGTGACAACCATGTGTAGCGGCGGAACTGCCGCCGGTGCAGTTACACCGAGGCCCACATGCTGTTGGGGTCTATCGGCCATACAATAGCGCAACCTGGCCCCTTTAAAAAAAAAAAAAGCGCATCCGCAAAGTACTGCTGGGAGGAAGTGGCCGTCACTTCCTCCCAGCTCCCTCCACTCCGCGCCGCACGGGAGGGAGGGAAGAAAGCCAGGCTGCGGGAGCCACGCCGACTCCCATCAGCCACAGCCTTCCACCTGCAAAAAAAGGTAAGCAAAATTTGCTGTATTTGTGTATGTCAGTATGTATCTATTTATGTATATCAGTACGTCTGTGTGTATGTCTGTATGTATGTCAGTATGTATGTGTGTGTATGTCTGTATTTTTGTCAGTATGTATCTATGTATGTGTGTCAGTATTTATGTATGTTAGTATGTGTGTATGTATGTGGGTCAGTATGTATTTATGTATGTATGTATGTGTGTCGGTATGTCAGTCTGTATGTCAGCATGTATGTGTGTATGTATGTATGTCAGTATGTATGTGTCAGTATCTATGTATGTCAGTATATATGTATGTTTGTGTAAGTCAGTATGTGTATGTATGCATGTCTGTCTGTGTGTATGCATCTGTATGTATGTCAATATGTATGTATATGTCTGTCTGTCTGTTTATATATGTATGTATGTCAGTATGTGTGTGTATTTATGTCCTTATGCGTGTGTGTGCAGTGTGCATAGGAATTTGTTCATATTGTTTATTGTCCTGCCTCCAACAGTGTCTGAGGGACCGTGAACTGGCCCCCTGTTTAAAAAGTTTG